AGCGTGTGCGTGGCAGCCATGGTAGCAGATGGAGTCGGTAGTTGGACGGCGAGGAAGACGAAGCTGGCGACGCCTAAGATCGTAGCGGCAATAAGAAACGCGACGACGCGGCGCATGATGCTTGCTTACCTTGGGATGCAATTCCAAAATGAGCGGTCCAAGTATGGATTTCCGCCGGTATCCTACGAGGCCATTGGCTAAAAAAGGAGCCAATGGCATCGCGCATAGATTGTTCGATTACCCAACTGCAAGTGACTTGTAAACGACACGAATACAAACCGCAAGCTTATTGCGCGCTGCCTTTGGATTGGATGAAATGACGATCGTCAGCGCCGCCGCCGCCGAAGATTGCAAATCTGTCGACCGGCGACTCCATCGGAACAACGCGTAGTAAATGACTCCGACGACGGAGTTCTAGCAAAACGCTAGTCAACACTAGGAGACACAACGCATCACAGAGAAGCCCTGGATTAAATAGCAAGAGCACGCGTCAACCGTGCGCTGTTGTCTCGCATTCACGACGCGAGAATAAGATGACCTTCAAGATGCCCCCAGATCCGAGTATAAATACGCACCCGGTTTGAAGATGGTAATACGGTCCGAGCAAGGATCGATCGACCGTCCAAAGCATACACCACGACTTGTGTCTTGCTGTGTCGGCGCATTTTCGCTCGCATTTCACTGCCTGTTGCATTACCGGTAGATGCATTAGACGAGAGTTATAGCCACGAGCTCAATGAATTTATGTAGGACTCTGTTACCGGTGGCCTCTTGGTGCTACCGACGAGAGAGAGACTAAGAAGCAGCGGCTGCAAACCACGAGGAACAGGCGCTCGGTCGTCTTATCACAGAAAGGAGCACAACGCCCGCCGCTGTGCCCAATACTCTTCGTAGAGCTCGTAGTAGAGAGGAAGAACGTGCGGTTGGCGCTCGATCGCGTCGGCGTCCATCGTCCATGGCTTGATGTACTGGTCCGAGTACGAGAAGTGATGAATGTACGTATGGCTGACTCGGTCGAGGAACGACGTGTAGCCAAAGAGGTACTTGTGCACGTTCTCCTTGAGATGCGTCGTGAGCACGACGTACTCGGAGGGAAGGATGCCGGCTACATGCTGCCACTCGACGTTGAGGACGTCCATGTCGAAGCGCACCTCGGTTTCATGCTCGATCGCGTGCTCCAAATGCGTGAAGAGCGCATTGTCTGGGTCCACGACGAGCAACACGGACGTGATGAACGGCTGAAGGTGCTCGAGCCAGTACGCGCGAGGTGCCCAAAAGACCGCGTGCGGCAGGTGGAAGAGCTCGTCGAGGTTCTTCATGATGACCGTGTCCGTGTCGACGTAGATGACGCGATCGTACCCGAGCTCTTGGAAGATGCGCAGCTTCGTGAGCGAGTCCTTGTAGTAGTCATTGCCCGTCTTGCGCCGCCAGCGAGCAACGGTCATGGGGCGAACCCCGCCGTTCACCAGAACCTGGCGCGCTTGCACCGAGACGTCTTCTGTGACCAACGCAACAATCTCAATGAACGATGGCGTGCCAAGCGCGCGGATCTTCTTGGCAGCGATGAGCGCGTTACACGCTTGGAGGTCGTTAGTCGCGTACAGCATGTAGGCCAGCTTTCGGCCGTCGACCGCAGGCAGTGGAGCCCACGGTTTGAACCCTGGGGCGTGCGACGCCGGGAGCGTTGTCGCAGGAAGGCGGCTGTGTCGAGGCTGCTCCGCTATTGCAGTCGTCGTTGAAGGTAGGACGAGCAAGATACCCGCGAGAGCCATGACGACGACCGCCGCGAGGCTGAGGAGCAAGGTCCCATGCCCTGTCGACGGCGACCGCGGATGAGCAAGGGCTGCGTGGCTCGGGTCGTCATGGCCTTGGATCAGAGTATCAGCAGCCTCGTCGAGCTTCGCATCGACCGGTACTCGGGTCGATGCCATAGCAGCAACGTTGGGCGATTCGTCGAGTCGACGCCATCGCGCCGAAGACAACGTGGCACCCTCGACAGCTGGTTGGTGGAGTCTGTTTTCAACATGTTTTCAACATTGCTAAACAGGTTTTAGACCGTTTTGCTTTGGCGATGGAGTGTAGCCATGGAGTGTAGCTGTGGTCGAGTTGATGGCACGAGAGCCAAGGGTCCGATCTCGTAACGCTAGCTCGTAGCGGCTCGTAGCCATGGTATTTGTCTATACATTTGGTCGGCAGACCCCTCACGACCACATGCTCTACCAGTAGCAAGCGTGGGTAATCAAGACCAAACTAGCAACTGCGATAGGGTAGGGTTGCGGTATAAATTCAGAAATGTACTCGTCAAATACGGACTTGTATCAACCTAATGGAGACAGCACAAGTACTCGTGGGCAGGTGTATCTGCAACGCGATAGCCATGTAGCGATCCATGGACAAGCGTGCTTAGATCGACGCCTCGCAGAAGAAGGAACCGCCGCCCGTCGGGTTGACGGTGAGGACGCAGACGCCATCCTTGCTGATGGCGCCCGTGATGGTATAACGCTTGCGACCATCCGGCGCTGGCGAGAGGCCGCCGTTCTTGCCCGACGGGTACGGGCAGTCGTTCCACTTGACGTTGCAGTTCTTGTCGACACTGACGTTATAGCAGTAGTTGTCGGCCGCGCCGTTGTTCCAGGCGCAAGTGCCAGAGTACGTGCACCACTCGAAGACGTTCTCCTGGACGCCGACCGTGTAGCTGCCGCCAAACGGGCCGAGCGTCGCCGACTCGCCCTGCTTGAGGTCGCCGTGGCCGTTGGACGAGAACCACGTCGCGGTCTTGTCCGTGTACTTGCAGACCTTGGGGAGGTTGTTGACAATCGAGAGCTTGCCGCCCCAGAGACCCGACCCGTTGTCCGAGGGCGAGCCGCTCGACGGCGAAGGCGTAGGCGCAGGCGTGGGGGCGGGGTCGGAGCAGGCGTCGGTGCCGGCGTGGGAGCCGGAGTCGGGGCGGGCGTCGGCGCGGGCGTTGGCGCGGGCGTTGGCGCTTCTGTCGTCGGGGCCGGCGTAGGCACTTCGGTGACCGGTGCCGTCGTCGGCGTCTGCGTTGTCGTCGCGTTTTCCGTACCCGGAAGCGCGTTGAGGTCGCCAATCAACGTCACGTTGGCCGACTCGGGCGCATCGGCGGTCGTGGCCACCGGGGTGAACGTGCTCTCCGCCGGGACACTGTCGAGGTGGCCCGTCGAGCCGACCAAGGTTTCGCCGTTGGCAGCCGCCGTCGTCGGCTTGGGTGTCGTGGAAAGGCCTTCGCCCGTGCTGGCGTCTGTCGAGCTCGTCGCTGCAAACGTCACAACGCCGACAGCGGCAACGACTGCGAGGCCGCAGCCCGCCATGATGAGCATGCGCTTCTTGCGCTGGAGATCGCCATGCTCGTTTTCCTTGTCTTCGAGGCCGCTCGGCGTCAAGTCGTTGTGGCTGATCGAGGGCGACCGCGGGGACGCTTCGCTGGACCGACCAAAGAAACCCATCCTCGTCTCGTTGCAAGTTCTCAAATGCTGCGAACGTCGTCCATGTCGCGACGGGAGCCAGCGCGTTACTCTCTGCCGTGACACACGGCCGGCCGAGTTTGCTGTGCACCCATCTTTTACCACCACGGAAAACAAAAACTGGCCTTTTGTAATAAATCCACACGCGTTAAGCCTCTTTTGAATTGTCGGCTCGACCCTACCCGCCATAACAGCCATTGCGCCGCTGTAGTGTATCTCGGTCCAAGATGGCGGCAGCGCCAGACAAACCGCCGCCGGTTTGCCACGCGACCGCGATACAACGACTACCCGTACTACTGCGGTGGTAGGAGCCACTGCGTCGATCGCAGCTGCCTTCCTGCGAAGGACGACCGTTTGCGTTGGGTGGCATGACGCCCAGCGGCGCTGCGGCACAAAAGTACACGGTACTCTGCCGACAGCTGGCGAATGTGTGTGCGAACGTAACCAACCGCGTCGACTTGAAGCTACGCCAAGTCGTTCGTCGTTCTCGCTGTGGATGGCCTTTTCAGACGCCCGACTTTTCTCCACGCCCTCAGCGATGCAGAGTAGAGTTGAGGATACATGGAGTGGCGTGCTGCGCAGGGACGTGGTCGTCGTAAAAGGCTGCGTCGCGCTCTGTAGCGTTAGCATGCACACCTCTACAAGGGTGTTGGGACGTGCGACCGAGTGTAGTGGCCGTCGTGTAATGGTCTGCGTTTCTACACCTATCGCAAGGCGCCGACGAGGGGCCATTGGCCGCAGTCCATGACGCGGCGTCTGCTCATGGCGGTCGAGCCCGTCGGGCCTGGTGGTGGAATGAGGATGATGATGATGATGATCGGGGGCGACTCAGATCGCATCTCGTCGCGCCGAGGACAGTACTCGCACCGTAGGATGGTAGCGTCGTGTGCGGTACCGGTAATAGGGCCATGTCGATCGGACAATATTTTACACAAAATGGTAGTATTGCTATTTGCCTTTTAGAACACCCGAACGCCTCTTTTGATTGTGTGTTGTTCATTCTTGTTTAAACAACATCATTCTATTCATGTATAAACGTGTGCACAATGAGTTGTGTCTCTACTTGAGTTTGATGAAAGAGTTCTTGAGGATCTTGACGTTGTACACGACGCTGGGGACTTCGGTGAGGTTGCCGTCGAGGATGTGGATGTTGGCGTCGCCGTCCTGCGCCAGCATAAAGTACTCGTCCGTCGCATCGGCTGTGGCCGACGGCGGTTCGTCGGGCGACGTCACCGGCTTGGTGGGCAGCGACCTGACGTGCACGGCCAGCATGACTCGTTTCTTCGCCAGGAGGTCTTTGGCCGGCAAGCCAAAACACGTTAAATGGCTCATGTAAAACCATTGGAGCGTACTCAGCCGGCGCGCACTGATGCAAACGACCGAGCCAGGACCGGTCGGGAGCTCGTGCGGCTCGATGCCCCAGAGAAAGTCGCACATGATCGACGTGCTGTTGTAGACCGCTTGGCGCGCCAAGCTGTTTTTGCGCAGCATTTTCCAATGCGCCAGGTTCCACACGTGGTCGAGCACGAGGATGACGACGATATTGACGAGGAGTACGAACACGACGTACGGCGCGACGCGGATGTAAATGCCGTGGACGACCTCGACGCGAATCCCGTCGAGTGGCTCGGTGTGCTGGTACAGCTCGTAGCTGTCCGAGTTGCTATAGTCGATAAAGGACGGGATGAAAAAGAGGGAGAGGCCGCTGAGGTACAAGGCGGTGACGCTCGAGAAGTTGAAGAAGCCCATCATGACGCTCTGGCCATTGAACGACGCGATACCGAGGAGGTTCCAGAGCAATTTGCAGAGCTTGAGGATGACGAGGTTGAGCCAGAGAAGGCGGAACGAGAGCGCAAAGATCTCGATCGACACGAGCGCTTGCGGCGCCGGCGCGTTGTAGACGCTGACGTCCCGGGCGTAGCGCAGACAATTTTGCAAGTCGAGGACGACCGAGAGTGTGTACAGATAGACAAAAATGTCCGAGTTGAAGAGCAGCATGTCGTAGCTCAGAGCTTCGGACGGAAATGGAAAGTACTTGGGCACGACGGTGCGAATCGCCTTGGCGACGAACGAGTCGGGTTTCGCCGGGTCGACTTCAAACCACTGCACGGTGCGGCGGCTCGCAATGTACCCGCCAACGCCCACAAAAATCGCAAGGAGCTTGACGATGAGGGCGGTGAGCGCCATCGCCGAGTTGACGACCGTGAATCCGAGCTGGTACGTCGAGCCCGGCACGAAGGCACTGGACGTGACCGTGAGCGTCTTGACCGCGTCATTGTAGATCATTTTGAACTCACACGTCGAGTACCCGAGCTCCGCGACCGTGTCGCAGCCGGTGCAGTAGTTGCGCGAGTAGATGCGGAAGTACGGCACCACCTGCGTTTGGGGTGTCGGCGTGTTGGCGAGGACGATATCACGCGTGAAGCGCTTGTCGACGGTGGTCCGCCCCGGGAGGTACCCATGCTTGAGGAGGTCGACGCTGCTGGCACCAGCCGGCACCTTGTCGTTGGCATTGGTCGCATGGGTGAAGGCGTTGCCGCGGTAGAACGTCGTCGCGTCGGCCGCGACGGCGAGCTTGACCTTGTTGGAGACGCTCAGATCCACGTTATAGTCGCCTTGAAAGATGGGGCAGAGGACGGTCGACGGCGTAAGCTCAAACTCGCCGGCAGAAATCGCGAAGACGCGGTCGTTCTTGCTGACCAAGTTGACCACCGTGTAGTTGGCCATCCACTGACCCATGTTGGACATGTTGGCGATCGAGTACCCGCGCATGTAGCTGTACTGCGTCTCGAGCTGCGGGGCGTTCTGAACCGCACCAATTGGCGTCAGAAAGAAATACCCGCCCGCGAGGTAGTTGCTGAGCGCCCAGTTGTTGACGACGGCGTCCATTGCGAGAAGCAAGACGACGAAGAGGCTCATCGCGCGCTTGACGTAGTCGTACCCGAGGCGTGCGAGGCCGCGCACCCCATGGTGGTCGACGACGAACGCGTGGATTGATGGAGGCATCGCGTCGAGTGGCAACTGCAAGTGACGATACTTGAAGTAACTTCGGTTTCGGCTAAAAACAAACAGGCGGGTTCGAAGTGGCGTCTTCGTTTGCTTTGCTTGGGAACGCCGATCGCGTGCACTGCTGCTCGATATTTTTATACGTGTAATGATGCTGCTCCGAAGCACGCCGGGATCGAGCGGTCCGATCCAGGGCTGTGCAGGCGCGGAGTCCAATGCTGGCTGAGTAGCGTACGGAAACCTTGTCCAACACGGCGCAGCTCGATGCTTTACAAGTAACATTATTGCAACCATTGAGGATCCAAGCGGCGACCAAACCAAGTGACGTCCGCTGATGATTCGAGCCGATGGATGATGCTCCCCTCAGGTACTCACAGTTAGTAGACTCGAGACGCATGAGATCGCCCTCTGCGTACTTTCGAAAATAAGATTTCTTATTGTCTATTGACTTGCACTAGGATGCAATAGTTGTCTATAAACATGCACTAGAAAAAGTCAAGTGTCTCGAGTCATCGGATCGTGACGCGCGTGTTCTTGAGCACCTTGATATTGTACACAAGGCTCGTCACCTCAGTCAGCGTGTGGTCGAGAAGGTGGATGTTGCGGTCCCAGTCCTGGACGAGGAGGCACATGTTCTCCGTGCCCTCGTCGGCATCCGTTGTCGTTGCAATCGTCGAGGTGTCGGTCGCCGACGCATCCCACACGGAGCTGGCCTTCGCCGAGCGCACCGAGCTCTTGACCTGCAGCGTTGCCTTCTTTCGAATCACGAGGTCTTTGGCCGGCAGACAAAAGCACGTCAAGTGGCACATGAAAAACCACTGGAGCGTACTGAGGCGCCGGGCGCGCACAAGGACAATCGCGCCGTCTGCGCCGTTGACATGGGCGCGCGGCTCGATGCCCCAGAGAAAATCGCACAGGATCGACGTGCTGTTGTAGACCGCTTGGCGCGCCAAACTGTTTTTGCGCAGCATCTTGAAGTACTTGTAGTTGATGCCGTGATCCAGCAGAATCACCACCAAGAGGTTGAGGACGAGTGCGAACACCACGTACGGAGCAACGCGGAGGTATTTGCCGTTGATGACATTGACACCGATGCCATCGATCGGCTCGATCGCGTTGTAAATGTCGACCGACACCGAGTTGTTGTACTCGATGAGCGCCGGTACGTAAAAGAGCAGAATCGCCGAGAGGTAGAGGTACGTGACACTGGAGAAATTGAAGAAGCCCATGGTCGTGCTCTGGCCATTGTACGACGCAATGCCGAGGAGGTTCCAGAGCAATTTGGCGAGCTTGAGGATCGCGAGGTTGCCCCACAGCAGACGCAGCGAGAGGGAAAACATTTCAATCGACACAAGGAACCGTGGCGCGAGCGCGTTGTAGAAGTTGACATTGCGCGTGTGTTGCATGCTGTTTTGCAAGTCGAGGAGCACCGCGAACGTGTACAACAGCACGAAAATGTCCGAGTTGTACATGAACATGTCGTAGCTGAGCGCGTCGCTCTGGTACGGAAAGTACTTTGGAATGACCGTCCGAAGAACCTTGGTGAGCATCGAGTCGGGTTTCGCCGGGTCCACTTCGAGCCACTGGATCGTGCGCCGGCCCGCAAGGTATCCCGCGATGGCGAATAGAATCGCGATGAGCTTGGTCACGATCGCGACTTGGCCAAACGCGGAATTGAGGACCGTGGACCCAAGCTTGTACGTCGAGCCCGGTACAAAGGCACTGGACGTGACCGTGAGCGTCTTGGCCGCGTCATTGTAGACCATTTTGAACTCGCATGTTGAGTACCCGAGCTCGGCGACCGGGTCACAGCCGGTGCAGTAGTTGCGTGAGAGGATTCGAAAGTAGGGCACGACCTGGGTCTGCTCAGACGACGTATTCTGGATCGAAAAGTCGCGCGTGAAGCGCTTGTCGACGGTCGTCTGGCCGGGGAGGTACCCGCGCGCGATGACGTCGGCGCTGCGCATATCCGGCGTCGCCACGTCGACGGTCGCATCGTTCGTAAACATGTGCGTGAGCATGTTGCCGCGGTAGTAGGTCGTCGCGTCGGTCGCAAGTGCCAATTTCACTTTTTTGAACTGTCAATGTTGCCATAGACGCCTTGAAAGACGGGACAGAGCACCATGGCCGGCGTCAAGTCGTATTCGCCCGCCGAGATGACGTAGAACCGGTCGCTTTTCTGCACAAAGTTGATGATCGTAAAGTTCGACATCCACTGACCCATGTTGGACAAGTTCTTGATCGAGAGACCGCGCATGTAGCTGTACTTGGTCTCGAGCTGCCGCGCGTTCTGGACAGACCCGAGCGGCGTCAAGAAAAAGTATCCACCCCCGAGGTAGTTGCTTAGCGTCCAGTTGTTCACAAGCGCGTCCATGAGGATGAGGAGGATGACGAGGAAGCCCGCAATATTCTTGGCATAGCCGAACCCGCGGTACGCGAGGCCTCGCATGCTGCCCGAATCGATACCATTGCCCAACCTGCTGCGTCGCCGCGACATGAGTTTTACGCGGTGGCTTTTCTGACGACTCCAGCGTGGGTTTTGAAAATGCGATAAATTTAGAGAGCCCCCCATTTTGTTGCAACTGACGCAACCGCTCCTGTTGCGTGGACCCACGGCACACGCACGCAACAATGCCAAATGCGGCCGCGCTCAGCGCCAACCAGCTCATGACGCAGTACGCCTTTCAGGGTGGCAGTAGCATTGGGCATCTCTTCAACGCCAACTACACCGTGTTCAACTTTCAGCAATTCCCGTCCGAGATGACTCATATCGGACGGGAATTGCTCGGCCCGACCAAAACGGGGTCTTTTTAGCCAAAACAGTTTGGCGCGCCAAGCGAACAGCAACCCGATTGTCTGCGATTACTGGACGGTTGCCTGAGCTGCGCATGAAGAAGCAGTCGATTAGCAACGTACTATCGCGCCTCCAGACGCAGCAAACCGATACAACAATCTTCTTTGCAATCAGCGACGCTGTCTCGGTTCTGAACGCTGCAAATCCCGGCGGCCGCGGCTATGACATTCACGACTCGGTCTACATGGTCGTCCAGGACAGCGACCGCTCCTTCTCGACGGTCAGCTCAGCGACGTGTCGAGTCTTGTCGACAACATCAAGATTCTCAAACACTACTTTTGTCACCATTACGTACGACGACACACGTCATCGATATTGGATACTAGTATGTATCTACTGTCAACATTGTCCTACATGCATAATGACGAGGACCCAAGCTCGTTCAATCGAGGTACCAAGGAGCGTCGGTCGGTGTTTGCTGCCGGCCTTTCTCTAAAAAGTCTGCCAATTTCGTGCGCAGCGCTTATTATAGCAACCACCAACGGCTGTCAACCGGTGGGAACGGCATGCGCTCCGAATCGACGGAGCCGCTTCGCGTGCGCCTCGCCCGCGCCTCGGACACGCTGCACTGGTACGCTACGCGCCTCTTTGGGTCGCTCGTCGTCTTGCTGCTCACGGTGGACGCGGTCGTCAACAACTGGTCGCTCAACAACTTTCTCGGTGGCGGCTTCTTCTTCTTGACGCCGGTCGGCGGCATTGGTGCCGCATATGAGCTCGATACCGAGTACAGCTTTGGGCACGGCCGCGCGATCGCCAACCTCTCGGACGTTGGGTACTGGATGACGAATGTGAGCGTGAGCCACCTCGTGACCAAGAGCAAGCACATGTACACGTTCACGGCCGGCGAGTTTGCGCTCACGCCGTCCACGGATCTCTGTCCGATCTTTCAAGGCACGTACAGTGCGTCGGCCGGCTCATCGATTCGCTTGGCGCTCGCAGACGACGCGATCTCGTTCTACCGCGGCCACGCGATGGACCATTTCTTCACAAACGATCAAACCACCAGCTTGGCAACGCCAGGCATGTCGAGCGCCGACCTCTTTTCGCTCGGGTACGTCCCCGGGCGCACGAGCGTCGACAAGCGCTTCACGACGCCGTTCAGAATCGCCAACACGTCTCAACTGCAGCATCTCGTCGTGCCCTATTTCCGCATCTACACGCACAACTTTTGCACCGGATGCACGCCGATCGCGGAGCTCGGCTTCAGTCGCTGCAACTTGACCTTGGGGTATAGTGACGCCAATCAAACGCTCCGCGTCGTCTCCAGCGCCTTTGTACCCGGCTCGACGTACAAGCTGGGCGTGACCATGGTCAACTCGGTCGTCGGCGTCGTGTCGCTGGTCGCCAAGCTCGCGGCGATCATGCTCGGTATTGCGGGCTTCCTCGCGAGCCGCCGGACTGTGCAGTGGTTTGAAGTCGACCCATCCACGCCCGACTCGGTCGTCGCCAAGGTGCTTCGGACCGTCGTCCCCAAGTACTTTCCATTTCCGAGCCACGCGCTGAGCTACGACATGTTTTGCTACAATTCGGACGTCTTCGTGCTCCTCTACGCGTCCTCGGTGCTCCTCGATCTGCAAAACTGCCTCTTGTACGTCGGCCGCATCAACGTGTACAACAACGCGCATGTGCCCCAAACACTTCCGTTGCTCACGACGCTTTCGCTCTCGTGTCGAATGCTCTGGGTCAACTGCGCGATCCTCAAGGTGTGCAAGATCCTCTGGAACCTCGTCGTGCACGCCGAGTACAATGGCCAAAGCAACGTCATGACGTTCTTCAACTTTTCCAGTGTCACGTACCTCTACCTTAGCGCGGTCCTGCTCTTCTTTATTCCCGCGTTCGTCGAGTACGACAACTCGGTAACCATGGATTTGCCCAAGTCGGTCGAGTCGCTCGATGGACTCCGCGTCGAGGTGGTGCACGGCAGCTACATGCGCGTCGCCGTGTCCATTCTGTACCTCCTGCTCATCAATGTCTTTGGCGTGACGGTCATCGACCACGCCATCAACTACAAGTATTGGCGCACGCTGCGCAACAACTCGCTTACGCGTCAAACCGTGTACAACAGCAGCTCGATCCTCTGCGACTACCTTCCGCCCCTCGAGAACCACGACGACGGCGTGACGACCACGACGAGCATCCGCGCGCGCCGGCTGAGCACGCTGCAGTGGTTTTTCATGAGCCACTTGACGTGCTTTGGCTTGCCGGCCAAAGACCTCTATGTGAAGAAGAAGAAGACGATGCTCATCCACATCAAGGCCGCGCGGACGTTTCGGAATCTGACGGCGCAGGCGGCCGAGCCGACCACCGCGATCGATGAAGAGGCGCCGGAAGAGCTCTTTACGATCGTCCAAGACGGCGACCGCGTGATCCACTTGCTCGATGGCAGCTTTGCCAGTGTGGGCAGCGCAGCCTTCAATACTAAAGTGCTCAGGAACGCGCCCATGACGATCCGATAGAGGTTGGAATATACGTCGTACGTTTTTATACACGGTGGTGCTGTCGACGTGGTGAAACCAGCAGCCTCATATCCGCCGGCTACTCTGCGGTCCTACGCACCTTGGTCAGTCCATCGACCCTTCTCGAACGAAAGGGATGGCCCTTGTGTTTGCGTCACCAAAAAGCCAAGTGCAATGGCCCATCTCGGTGTATAGTACTAGCGAGTATCCGGCAGTGAGGACGGCGGCGAGTCTCAACCGGCACCATTTTCGAGTCGAAACTGGAAGATTTGGGGCTCAACTTCGCAACTACTACTACAGCAGTAGTTCAAGCGAGACGCTTGCGCTTCGGGAAACCTCCAAGCGCAAGCTTGTTGAAAGAAACCGAGCCCTAAACCGGTTGGACTAGCCGACGACGCTGAACGGTTTCGATAGCCGGTGAAGTGAGGCTGTGCGACGCGGCTCTCGATGGTCGAGTGCGTGGAGGCAGGAGTACATAAATCCAATAGGATTTATGTGCTGTTGGTGGAGGGGAGGGGTCATCGCCGAGGGTCAGTGCCTTGCGGCAACGCGTGCAAAATCACGCGTCAAGTGAGAAAGTGCGGAGCTGTGAAGAACCGATTTAGAGTCCTGGAGACCATTGCAGTGATTTTTTGTGTATTTTGCGAACCTGTTAGCCGATTCGCTGGAATTTTGGCTTGTTCGATAGGATTTTCATGTAGATTTGAAACGCATCGAAGTGATCTCTCAGAAACGCATACACCGCTAGAAACAGTGCCGGTAAAGTAGGAATGGTAGTTATTTTCCATCCTAAGACAGTATAAATTGTGAAAACCGATCTGAAATCAGATGTGGGAGGCTTGACTCCGACTGCTTGGGTGCATCAGATTATGGGGTGCTAGGCTCCAATCCGGCCTTTGGTCTCAACTCTCAAAGCTGATCGAAAAATCACTGTCAATGGTCTCGAGGACTAATAGACTGCGAATCTTGTACGAAGCGCCCTTCTTGGTTGTGTTCACCATGTCGGCAAATATTAATGCAAGTACGTCAACATGTAATAGCTAGCAGTCTAAAACCAGCATGTTCGGTTGTCTCACTTGATGGTGACGGTCGTGTTCTTGAGCACCTTGATGTTGTACACGAGGCTCGTCACGTCGTTGAGCTGGCCGTCCAGGAGGTGGATGTTGTGGTCGCCGTCCTGGACGACCATGTACGCGCCGTCGTCGGGCACGGGTGACGGCAGCGGCAGCGCCGTTGGATACGTGATCGAACTCGAGCGCGAGCTCGAATTCGCCGTGTGGTGGTGCTTGACGTTGACATGTACGATCGAGAGCTTCTTGGCCCGGAGCTCCTTCTCCGGCAAGCCAAAGCACGTCAAATGGCTCATGAAGAACCACTGCAGTGTGCTCAAGCGGCGCGCGCGGCACACGATCGACGACGCGGCGCCGTCCGCGTCCGGCTCGATGCCGTCGACAAAGTCGCATACGATCGAGCTGCTGTTGTACATGGCTTGGCGCGCCAGTGAGTTTTTCGCCAAAAGCTGCCAGTAGCGCCAATTCCAGAGCCGATCGGCGGCCGTGACAAGGAAGAGGTTGACGACGAGGCCGACGCCGACGGACGAGAGCACGCGGAGGTAAAACCCGTCGAAGACGCGGACGCGGATGCCGTCGATGCTTTCGTTGACGTTGCGAATTGGCGTCGCCACCGAGTTGTTGTACTCAATGTACGCGGGCACGTAGAAGAGGAGGACTGCGCTGAGGTACACGGACGTCGTGGACGAGAGGTTCAAGAAGCCCATGAGCGTGCTCTCGCCGTTGACCGTCGCGGCGCTCACAAAGCTCCAGACAATCTTGAGAAGCTTGAGGAACGCGCAGTTGACCCAGAGAAGCCGGCTCGAGAGAGAAAACATTTGCAGCGAGTGGACGAATTGCGGTGCGAGATTGTTGTACACGTTGACTTCGCGAACAAAGATGAACGACGTGTTGAGGTCGAGAAGCACCGAGAGCGCATACAGAAACACAAACAAATCCGAGTTGTAGCAAAACGATGCGTAGCTCAGCGCGTTGCTCTGGTACGGAAAGAGCTTGGGAAAGACCATGCGAAAGGCACGCGCCCCGACCCCGTCGACTTTAGTAGGGTCCACTTCGAGCCACTGGACGGTGCGCCGACCGGCGAGGTACCCGCAGATCGCGATGGCGATCGCTGCCAGCTTGATGTAGAGCGCTGCGACGCCGAACGAGGAGTTGGGCATCATGAGCCCGAGAAAGTACGTCGAGCCTGGCACAAAGCTGCTGTTGGTCACGCGAAGCGCTTTCGTCGTGTCATTGTAGACATAAGTAAAGTTGCAAATGCCGTGGCCGAGCTCCGCCGCCGGCGCGCACCCGGTGCAGTACGTCCGGGGGAAGATGCGGTAAAACTTGACGATCTGGGATTGCGGCGTCGAGGTGTTTTGAACCAGCACGTCGTGCGTGAAGCGGAGGTCCGTGCCCGTGCGTCCGGGCACATAGCCGAGCTCGAACAACTCGGTGGACTTCATGGACGAGTTGCCCAAGTTGGCCTCAGCGTCGTCCGTGAAAAAATGCGTGAGCGCGTTGCCGCGGTAGAATGTCACCGTGTCGGACGCGAGCGCCAGCCGGACGTTGCCGACGCTTGGAATTCCGTACGTTTGAGCGAACGTCGGACACAGGTTGGTCGCCCGTGTCAACGGAAACTCGCCGGCATTGATGACGTACACATCGTCACTGTCGGTGACGAGGCGGACAATGGTTGCGTTGGCGATCCATTGACCAATCTTGGAAAGGTCGTGGATGCCGAGGCTCCGCGCGTAGCTGTACTGCGCACTGAGCTGCTGCGCGTTTTGCGCCGCTGCGATCGGCGTGAAGAAGAACTTGCCGTCGCCAAGGTACGCGTTGATGGCCCAGTTGTTGACGATCGCGTCGCTCGCAATGAGCGGGAGGACGAAGAGACCTCCGATTGCGACGGTGCGTTGGTACAAGCACCGCCAGTGGCTGCACAGCGAGTCCTTGGACTTGACACTCGTCACCTTACCCGTCATGTAGGCGCTTCGTCCCATCGTGTCAAGTTTGAGTGTGAATGATCGGCGTTGACAAATCCGCGTTTCAAAAATGCGTCACGTTGCGTATATATCTTTTCACCTCATTTTGGACGAAACGCCAGAAAGGCGTCGTCCCACGACACAGGTACATGTAAACGACTCGAAAGTTAATAATCTCAAGGGTCAATTAACTACTTTATTGCCCCTGGTGTATTGACGATGCGCGTCGTCAGTCGATCACGTTGTTCCCGCAGTCGTCGGTGGGGAAACTCAGCGGTTGGAGTGTCTACTCGTGGCCTCCAACGTCCAAGCACACACGTCTCTCTTTTTGCGGGGGCGTTGCACGGCAGGAAACGATGGCCCCCCGCCGGTGGCACGACGATGTCGTCCCACAGCGATGACAACGCGTTAGCTCGCGGCTGTGCACCAATAGGGCGCTTTAACAGCCCACAAGTCCTACATCCTCGAGGGGGATTCAAAACCAGGAGCATTCCCGTATTTTCTTGATCGTACAGACCCTCCTCATATTGCAAACTGGATGCGTGCGACGACGACGACGACTCGTCGCCTACACGCGCAGCCAGCCCAACGATGGCGCCGTTTCTTTTACACAGTTTGAGCGCTTGTTTTCCCATGCGTGTCTCGACGTTGAGGAAACCAGATCGTAGTCCTTCCTCGTGACCACCTAAATTGTACTATCCTTCATGACACCTGTACGTGTTGCATTGCTCGTGGGATTCGACGAAACAATTCGTTGTTGTTGAAGTGAGTCTATTTAGATATACTAAACTGAACTGGATATGGTGGTGGACCATCGATTCCAAGGTGCTACGACGAGCCGGCCGCCGAGAGGCTTAGCCGAGCGGGAGACGTGGCGTGTAAACGGCACGATGCCGGAACAAAGTTGTCGCGTAGCCATGC